AGTCTGATGACTACTGTTATAGTTTAACCTAATTAATGTTACGAAATTCATACGCTAACCGCTGTTCTTTTCAAAGCTCCAAATTTTCTTCCCTTTCGGTTCACATCTCTTGCACCCAACAATATTTTACTTCTTCAAATCATTCTCTCTAAGAAAAACACTCCATTTCTCTCTTTTATTGCAAGTTCTTCTTTCCAGAATTCATGTCGGTATGTGATCTTCACTGATTCCTTTAATTTTCTGTTTAAATTTGTTAAAACGAAGGTTTATATTCGTTGTTTGATTTGATTTTTTTTGTGTGGATTTAAGCTTTTGTTTGTTTCCATTCATATCCTTCTGGGTTTCCACTCCTTTACAATTCTTAATTTTTTTTGCTGATCAAAGTTTCTTCATTTGGGCAAGTATTATCTTCATGATTGGAAATTTAACATTGTCATTTTGTTATTCTTTTTTCTTTGACGAGTTTACTTGAAGATGGGTTTGAGATTTTTGTTTTGTTTAACTGATTAGCTACAAAACCATCTGAGCAATTTATTGTATAATAAGTTCATAATATGATTTATGGTTAATAAGTTTTTTTTTCCTTCTAGAGGGATAATTTAAATTGATTCAAATGGGTGATTGTTTTGGCATTGTTTTAGAATCTTGGTCCTGGTTGGAATTAGGATGGTTTACTTGATGTACCATTAATTGTGTGGAAATGTAGTTCCTGGTCATTGAAAAGTTAGGATTGTGATTGTTGTACAAGCCCATTAGTATACCCTCGGACCTCGGGCATAGGGTTATAAATAAGAAGAGACAGAGCGCGAGCTACTTGAGATAAATTCGGTCAAAACTCGATCAAGTTTTGAATTGAATGGACTCGTGCTCGAAATCGACTCGAATTATTAATGATTTGTAGCGGGCTACTTGATACCCGACTAAAATGCTCGTGAGCAGCTTGAAAAATAATATCATTAAATTTTTAGATATTTTAAATTAAATTATTAATAATATTAATATTTATACGTTGTTCTTGTTTTAGAAAATACAATATTAGGCTTTCATGCACTTAAGGTTCAGGTTCGAGCTCGAGTTGAGCTTCAATTTTTTATTTCGAGTTGATAATTTTAAGCTCGTGAGTTTTCGAGTGGAGTTCAGTTTTACATTTTTTGAGTCGAGTCGAGCTCAACAATTCTCAAACTCGACTTGTTTACAGCCCTACTTGGGCAAGCTCAAATGTTTCGCGGAAACCGGCATCGGATCACCACCTTGCACAAGATAAGATAGCTCAGTCTACCTAGCCTCCCTCCCTGCACAAGTTGGATGTATGACAGTGAACTAACACAACAGGCTCTAAGCCGGCCTAATCTCACTCTTGACCATACGCCAATTCACCTGCCTCGCGGCATTAGAGATGTAGGATATATAAGAAGACTCCCTCTCTCCCCTTAGGAGAAGGGAGCCGAGTCCGAATCGCTACTTCAAAAGCAGCAAACCTACCTTCCCGTACATCAACAATGATAAATTTCTTTTGAGAACATTCCAAGAGTCGATATACTGAAGTTTGATATGTGAAGAAAATTAGATTTTTCTTAGGAGTGTGCAGAGGGCATGTGTTGTTACTTGTGTAGTATTTGCCTGAAGCAGATGAATCTTCTGTATCAATCTGTTCATATTCAATTGATCGGCAATGTTCCAAATCTTCCGAAGAACTCTACTGATTTGAGTAGCCGACTTTTAGAAGATCATATTGTTCCTTTCCTTCCATAGAAAATAGATGAAATCCCTCCAAACAATGTGCTAGATACTGATGATTGAAGCATTGCCGCGTATGTGGTTGATTGCCCATGATAATTCATCACCCCGATTGTGCACTCTTCATTTTATCCGGCAAAGTTCTAGCAACTTGCACCATTAGAATACCTTTGAGTAAAGAAGATACGGTCCTTTTGGTTCTTGTTCTAGATTGCAGAAGGGGCAGACCTCTTCAGTGATTATTCCCCATCGAGAGGACGGTATTTGGTCGGAAGTTTACCAAGGATTGATAAAATATGTGCCATGTCATTGTCTGCTCTTGGTCTTAATAGCATTCCAAACTGTAGCAACCAGAGTTCTTTACGGGGTCTATCGCCATGTTTATTTTGACCGATGCGACGAATGCTTGAATTTTCATGACTCGATATTGTTTTGATTGCTAGTTTACATCGATTCAAGTTTGACTTTTTTGGAAGATTCATTTTCTTTATCATGTCATGATAAGCTTCTCCATTTGCCCAACAGGAGGAGAAGGGCCGCCCGTTGCCAAAATTTGGTGAATGGGACGTTAATGATCCTGCATCATCCGAGGGATTCACCGCGATCTTTAACAAGGCAAGGGACGAGAAGAAAACGGGTGGCAAACCCGAGTCACCAGAAAAGGCTGATCCTGCTGTTAAGTCTGGAGCGGATCCCAGCAAACCCCGACCTGTAAGTAATCTTCAACAACTTACCTTGCTCATAACATCTCGATGAACGCATTAGATGTTGATAACCAATTCTTTTGATGTTCCTTCGATGCACATTAGATTTCTCTCCTGATATGCTGTTTTTTTCTCCAGAAAAAATGGTTTTGCTGCATTCGAGCCCCGGCTGCAGAACCCTAATGGAATCCTGTCTGATTAGAGCTTCCACACGTATGTTATTATACTCCACCATATATTCTTAAACAGATAGGATCTACTGTATCTATATGTACTGATATGGTGGGTCATTATTAGAAGCAGAGTTGTTTCTTCTTGTTGTTTAACTTCTCTTTGTTATAAGCTGTAAAGCTTATTGTATGACATTTTCTTTCTTTAATAGAGTGATCAGCTATGTTGCTCGGTATCTTCGTTTTTATTGAAGTATTCGTGTTCGGACACTCGTATCCGGCACTTGGATATTGCAATATGACCTTCTAGGATCCCTTCAGTTGCATCAAAAACTCATAAAATAATCGCAAACGACACTCACATTCGAGTTCGAGTAATTCAAGAGCAAAATGAAAACATGAATGAGAACTCGAACTTTGCTGATGGATCTCATTGCCACTAGTCGAATTATTCAAGAGAAAATTGCGAAAAACATAAATGAGAATTGATCACCGGTCAGCAGATAGGATCGGGCCTAAGCTGCATCGGCATCTGCTCTTTCAGTCTCGTCTGGTCTGGTCCGGTCCACCGTTGCATACACAGCTGGATGTTTTTCCATGTTCTTATTCCCATCGCTTACTGATTGAACGCTTTCCGATCTAAATGATTTCCATTGCTTTCTTCACATACTTCCGACGCCGGGTCAGATTTACATCATTACTAGAATCCTAAATCCAAAAACATTTGCTTTCTTGCATAGATTGAGCTCAGCAACCCTCACTGTTAGGCTCTCTCATGCCGGCCAATGTGACGGAAGTGTCTCTAAACACGAAAAGGTTTTCTCGGTTCGCCTCGTCTTTCATCGTAAAATAAATTCTTTGTTTGATATAAATAGAACAACCCGGAGACTGTGGAGAAAGACAATGTGCAGTATAAGATAGTTTTACAGATTTGCATACAAGGTAGATGAAGAACTATGAATCAGTCCCTCAATGGTGGTCATTTCCATCTTCGCCTCTGAAAGTTCCGATAAAGGGTTTTGGCTTCCTGGTGGAGAGTTCTCCTCGCCTGTGCGAGCACACTATTTTTCACATTACCTGTTGGGATTATTCAAGCCACAACGAACATGGTACGATCATTCTCGAAGAAATAGCAATAGCATTTCAGATTCAAAGTCTCTAAGCATGATTTGTTTAGGTGCATCAACCGGGAGGCTACCATCAAGCATGAGCACTACATGAACCTGCATTATTGCCCAAGGGGAGTCCCTAGATATGCCATGGCGAAGATGTATTTTACAGTGCTTCGATCATTTGGGGTGTCGGAGGTTAACTAATAATGTTCACAAACTACAGCAACTACCTGCAGATGAACTGGTTCTTTCTGATTGGTTTGCTCGCCCCAGTTCCAGTCTGGTGGCTGTCGCGCAAATTCCTGGAGAAAAAAACGACCGGGTTAATACATATGCCGATTATCATCGGAGCTTCGCAAGCTATGACATCGGCTAAAGCTGTTTAATATATTTGTTGGGTAGGTGTTGGGATCTTCTTTAACTGGTATGTTTACAATCAGTACAAAGAATGCCGGGCTAAACATGATTGCCTTCACAGGTACGTTTCTTTATCGGCTCTTCAATCTGATGAAATCAATGGTCGAGATCAGTGGGGTCGTGATGCCACGGGCCATCGTCCATCGGCTCATTGTCTCAAGGCACCCGGGATCATGTCCGAAGGATGCCCTAGGTTATATTTTGTATGATGAGTCGCCGCCACAGGAGCCATGCGATCCTTCGAGTTATGAAATTGTAAGAACGCTTTTCTTCCCCGTATCTTTCCTGTTCGTTTTATAATCTATGTTCGGCCTTTAATATAATCTAGATCGAATAAATTAAAAAATAAAATTTTAAAAAATAAAGATAAATAAAATCCCCAAAGCAATTCATATTCTTGGCATGTTCATGCTGTTATATAGTTGATATTTATATTAAAAAAAACTTCATTAAAACTAGGTCAGGCATGCGTACAATGGAAAGCATGTGGTCTACCAACTCTTCCCCCTCAATATATAGGCAAGCCTTTGGCTCATCACAGTTGATTCGCTTCATTTTCTCTACCTACTTACATACAACAACTATTTTAGTTAAGTTTCTCTTCGGATTTTCATCTTTCAATTATGGAAACTCGAAAAGAGAGTGAGATCGAGGACTACCAATGCCGTTGACGCCTCTGAGGATGGGGTCTATGCAGATTGCATGTAGCAACGGTTTCGGTCATAACATTGAGTTCGTATCACAGGCTTACCTTAGAAACCGGTATTCCGAGATCGATATCGAGGACCACACCGTGTATGCTGATAAAGATCAGCCTCTCCCCATATTTCTTAAAGTAGTTTGATTTCCGGGTTTTCTTTGATTTGTTAGATGTTTAGTTTATCAGTATTAACTTTTGATATGGTCCCGGTTTCGTATACGAAGTTTGAAGACTTGGAAAACAAGGTTCGGAGTCACCAACCTGCCTCGATCAACCCGGTGAGAGCGGTGATGTCGAAGTTAGCTTCGCAACTGAACTTGGAACATGATAAGTACAAGGAGATCCTTAAAGGCGTAACGGGCAGCACCGGCCCGGTGAAATCCGTGCTTTGATGGGTCCTTCTGGTAGTGGCAAAACAACCTTGTTAAAGATAATAGGTGGAAGATTGACAGATAATGTTAAAGGAAACATAACGTACAACGACCTCCCTTACAGTCTGGCTCTTAAGCGAAGGTTAGGCCAGTTTTTATCAAAGCTTTCTTCTTTTCTCCATCATTCAATTGATTTCGAGTGTTCTGTTTCCTTGCAGGATTGGATTCGTGACACAGGATGATATACTGCTGCCTCAACTAACGGTCGAAGAAACCTTAGTTTTTTCGGCATTTCTGAGACTTCCGAGTGACATGAGCCTGCAACAAAAGTACGCAAAGGTGGAGATGATTATGAAGGAGTTAGGCCTTGAAAGGTATGAACAAATATGAACCACATAGGGATTTACCTTGCACTCTTACCGTTGCGATAACCACAGATGTCGTCACACAAGAATACGGGGTGTATTGATAAAAGGGATATCCAGTGGAGAAAGGAAAGAACTAGCATCGGTTATGAAATTCTCGTTGATCCATCATTGTACTTCCGGTCTCGATTCTACTTCAGCCAATAAACTTATTCATATTCTTCAAGAAGTTGCAAAGGTATCCTAGTTGACCAAAATATGTACAAAATGCAAACGGTTCCTATATAGAAAATGAGCCAAGATCTTGGTTGATGGTATGCAGGCAGGGCGAACTGTAATCACGAGGATTCACCAGCCGTCGAACCAAATGTTTCACATGTTCAATAAGGTTCTGCTGATATCAGAAGGCTACCCTATTTACTCCGGGAAGGCAAGAGATTGCATGGAGTACTTTTCGTCGCTCCGATTCATCCCGGAAATAGCAATGAATCCGGCGGAGTTCCTGCTCGATTTAGCAACAGGCCAAGTTCATGACATAACTCTTCCTGAAGATCCAGTGGCGTCTCAAGGAACGGCCGAGTCCGAGAAGGCTGTAATCAAAGTACAAACTCTTTTTGACAATGTAGAGGATATTTAATCCCTTTCTTTATATGATCATCTCCCTCTCAAAACATATTCTTCTTCACATTATATCAGTATCTTCAACTCAAGTACAAAACTCATTTGGAGCCAAAGGAAAAGGAAGAGAATCACAGAAGTTCCAAGGCGCCACAACACCTCCGGATGGCTATTCAAGTGAAGGACTGGACAATAACTTGGTGGGAGCAGTTCATGATAATAATGAAGAGAACGTTTCGAGAGAGATGACGGGATTACTTTGATAAGCTGAGATTACTACAATCACTAGGAGTTGCAGTCTTGCTCGGTCTTCTTTGGTGGAAATTGAGCGCCGCAACCGAGGCTCAACTGAGGGATCAAGTAAAGTTTCCCGAACTTCATTTTACAAATCTTTGACTCCCCAATGTCCCCATTACATCAAATGGATGACTTCTATTTTCAGATTGGTCTGCTGTTCTACATCTGCATCTTTTGGACGTCTACGTCAATTTTCGGAGCGGTATACGTTTTCCCATTCGAAAAGGTCATCTGGTGAAAGAACGGAAAGCCGCCATGTACAGGTTAAGTGTATACTATGTTTGCAGCACTCTGTGTGACATGGTGGCACATGTTCTGTATCCCACATCATTCATGTTGATTGTCTACTTCATGGCTGGTTTCAAGAGAACAGTCGTTTGCTTCTTCCTCACGTTATTTACCATCTTATTGATAGCAATTATAAGCCAAGTAAGTCAAGCAATTTCCGATATACGACGTTCTTTGCTTTTAAGACCCAAATACTCTTCTCCGATTAATGCGATCTTCGACTTCGCATATGAACGAAAAACTAGGGAGTGGGGGGGCTGCGGTTTTGAGCATTAAAAGGGTAGGGATGATGGCATCACTGGTGTTGATGTTGTTTCTTCTCACAGGAGGTTACTACGTCCAGGTACTTGAAACTATAATAGAAACTGCTTTCGATTCTTCATCGGATCCGATGAGTTCACTGAACAAAGTTGTTCCGTTTTGCAGCATATACCGAAATTCATGCAGTGGATGAAGTACTCATCGTTCATGTACTATGGCTTTAGGCTTCTGGTGAGGTGCAATACTCTGGGGACCAATTGTAAGAATGCCAAAGCCCGGGCGGCTGTCGGAATCTACAGGATTCGCCTTCGTCCGACACGGTTTACCTCGGCGGAGGCCTGAAGAAGTATGGATTCTACTCGCCATGGCACTCGGATACCGGTTGTGTGCTTACATTTGCCTGCGCAAGAGAATTAGTTCATGTACTATTTGAGCAGAATCTGCATTGCTGAGAAACATATGTAACAGAAAGACAGAAAAAAGCTCGAGGGGCTTTGCCTTTTCCTTTCCTGTTACCTTACGAATTCCATGCATGCAAACGCTTTTTAGTATAATGTTGTCATCAATTTTTTGTGGAGCTAATTGCACCACATGTCCTCAAAACATGACTTTATTTTAAATTGATTCCTAAACTTTTACATGTTCCAACTTAATCCCTAAATTATAACTTTCATCCTAAATTAATCATCAACATTTTAATTTATCCCTAAACCTTCATTTAAAACGATCACCAAACTTTTTGAATTTTTCAATTTCATCTCAAATTATATGTATATAATGATCACATCTACTATTAATAAAATCGTTGGATCTAATTAGGGATGGCAACTCAACCCGAACCCGACGGGTTTCGACCTGACCCGATTAGGCCGGATTTTTTTTATAAAAAAATCGGATTCGGGTCGGGTCGGGTTTTTTAAATACACTGTTCGGGTCGAGTCGGGTTTAGGGTGAAAAAAATCCGACCCGACCCGAAAAATATATATTTTTACCTATATATTTAGGGATAATTACAATATTATCCCTCTATATATAATTTTTTTCAATTAAGTCACTATTTTTATTGAATAAAATATATGTTTTTAATTATTTCGGTTCGAGTCGGATTTTTAAGTCATATATTCGGGTCTGGTCGGGTCGGTTGAAACCTTATTTTCTTCGGGTCGAGTCGAGTCACGAGCGAAAGACCCTTTCTTCTCAGGTCGAGTGACCCTAAAATCCAACCCGACCTATTGCCATCCCTAGATCTAATTATATTATTATAAGTCTGAAAAAAAAATCTAAGTTAAACTATAATTGAAACTATACATATTAAGATGAATTTAAAAATAAAACTGAGGATTAATTTAAAAAGAGAGTCATAGTTTATGAATAAAATTATAATATATAAAAATTTAAAGACAAATATGGAACAAGAATTGTAGTTCAAAAGTTTGACGATTAATTTAAAATGAAAGTTTAAGGACGTATGATGCAATAAAGGCTGTAAAACATTCGAAGAAAACACAGAGCATTTTATCATTTAAGATCGTCTCCAAACATAACTAAGCAAATCCTCCAAAAGGAGGCACCAGACAAAATGTAAAAGACGGGCTAAAGGATCGTTCGAAATTAAAATTGTACTTCTACTGAGTTTTTAGTCAACTTCCTCCATCTTGCTTCCTTCAGCATCGGCGTCCTCCAACGGGGGCATGTCAGCATCGGCTTCGGCTTCGCCTGCATCCTCGTCGATACTCAGGCCGAGTTTGAGCATCCTGTGGATCCTGTTGCCAAAGGTGTTAGGGTCGTCGAGGCTGAACCCGGAGGTGAGGAGGGCGGTCTCGAAGAGGAGGAGGACAAGGTCCTTGACGGATTTGTCGTTTTTGTCTGCATCAGCCCTCTTTCTCAGCTCCTCCATGATTGGGTTCTCGGGGTTGATCTCCATCGTCTTCTTGCTGGACATGTAGCCTGCCATGCTGCTATCCCTCAAAGCCTGGGCCTTCATGATCCTCTCCATGTTGGCAGTCCAGCCGTACTCACCGGTCACTAAACAGCAAGGAGAATCAACCACACGGTCGGATACGATGACCTTCTCGACCTTGTCACCCAAAACATCCTTTATAACCTTGCACAAACCCTCGAACTTCTCCTTCAAAGCTTCCTTCTTTTGCTTCTCGTCCTCACTCTCATCGAGTTTCAAACCTTCCTTGGTAGCAGACACGAGCTTCTTTCCCTCGAATTCTTTCAGTTGTCCAACAGCATACTCATCGATAGCATCAACCATGTAAAGGACCTCATAGCCCTTCTTCTTCAGCTTCTCGAGGAAGGGGGAGTTCTCAACAGCCTTTTTACTCTCACCTGTGATATAATAGATATCATTCTGACCTTCCTTCATTCTGGTCACATAGTCCTTCAAGCTGGTCATCTCATCACCGCTCTTGGTGGAGTGGTATCGCAGCAATTCCGCAATCTTATTCCTGTTCTGAGAGTCCTCATGGATACCAAGCTTGAGGTTCTTCGAGAAGGCCTCGTAGAACTTGTTGTAATCTTCCTTGTTCTCAGCTATTTCAAAGAAGAGCTCAATGCACTTCTTCACCAAGTTCTTGCGGATAACCTTCAAGATCTTGTTCTGCTGCAACATTTCTCTAGAGATGTTCAGAGGAAGGTCCTCAGAGTCAACGATACCCTTCACAAAGCTGAGAAACTCGGGAATCAACTCCTCGCAGTTGTCCATGATAAAGACACGTCTGACATACAGCTTGATGTTGTTGGGCTTCTTCTTTGTATCAAAGAGATCAAAAGGAGCTCGCTTTGGAACAAAGAGGACAGCCTTGAACTCGAGTTGCCCCTCAACTGAGAAGTGTTTGACGGCCAAATGCTCTTCCCAATCATTTGTAAGGCTCTTGTAGAATGCAGCATATTCTTCCTTGGTAATCTCTTCCGGCTTTCTCATCCAAATCGGCTTCTGTTTGTTCACCAAGGACCATTCATGGGAGACCTCCTTAATCTTCTTCTTTTTCTTCTCTTCCTTCTCCTTCTCCTCGTCAACATCCTCGACTTTCCCTTCTTCATCCTTCTTGTCCTCCTCATCCTCATCATCAGAAATCTCCTTCTCGGTAGTCTTCTCAATCCAGAGAGAAATGGGATAGCTAATGAATTCAGAGTGCTTCTTGATCAAGTCTTTGAGACGTCGCTCCTCGAGGTACTCAAGCTGATCCTCTTTCAAGAAAAGTGTAATCTTAGTACCCCTGCCAAGGTTCTCACCAGAGGTATCCCTGGTGACAGTGAATGACCCACCAGCTTGGGACTCCCAAACATACTGCTCGTCATCGTTGTGCTTCGTGATAACGATAACCTTCTCAGCAACCAAATACGCGGAGTAGAAACCGACACCGAATTGACCAATCATACTAACATCAGCACCAGCAGCCAATGCCTCCATGAATTCCTTGGTCCCCGATCTCGCAATGGTACCAAGATTGTTCACCAAATCTAAACGACACCGACATCATCGCATTAGACTCTCATTTAACTCGAAACTCTAAACTCTGAATGCACAACTAAGCACACTTACCAGCCTTGGTCATGCCGATACCACTGTCGATGATCGTCAGGGTGTTGTTAGCCTTGTCCGGAACAATATGGATGAAGAGCTCAGGCTGAGCATCGAGTTTGCTCTTGTCTGTCAAGCTCTCAAATCTAATCTTGTCTAAAGCCTACAGAAAACAGGTTCAACAATCAAAACAATTACAAATATAAATGCCCAGTAACTTGCAATATATTAAACACATTAGATTCAAGAAATGATTAATCTCCACTCTTTTACAATCAACAACCCAATAAATAACACAATTTCAAACTAAAACCGTGCAGTCTCATTAAGAAATTCATATGAACCCTAAAATTCTATCACGGAAACGATTAAGCAAATCCCATGAACATCAAATCATAACAGTTCAGATCCATTAGCTAAAGCATTAAAAAAAACTCAATTATCAGTCTTTAAACGTTAAAAAAAAGGGGGAAATGAAAGTGGACTTACGTCGGAGGCGTTGCTAATGAGCTCACGAAGAAAGATCTCTTTGTTACTGTAAAAGGTGTTGATAATCAAGCTGAGAAGCTGGTTGATCTCAGCTTGAAAAGCAAAAGTCTCTGCATCCGCCATTGATGGATGAACTCTAAGCTACCGATCCAAAAACAAAAAACGTTAGTTTGGAAAGCTATGAACTTTGGGTTTCGAATGGAAATGAAAACAGAGTGAGCACTGCTTTAAACCTGCGAGTTAAGGAGACTTTATAGAGGAGACATATTAGGGTTTCTAGATTCTTCTATAAGCCAGAAAATAGGGAGTAGGGACACATTGCTTTTTCTATTTTATATATCAACTTGCAATTTGAATTTATTAAGGGTAAAGTACATAAATGGTCTATTAATTGTAGGTATTATTTTATCAAGTCACTCGACTATTAAAAATTATAAAATAGTCATTCAATTATAGAGTGTTACTTTGTTGAGTCTGTCTATTATTAAAAATTATAAAATGATCACCTGACTATTCACTATGTTCCAAACTCGTCTTTTTTGTTTGAAAAAATGGACACTATTATGAGCTGAATGTTAACATATTGACTGTGATATGATAAAATATGATATTAGAATCTCAAACGACTATCATATCTCAGTCATTATTTAACGTCCAACATAATCAACTACCAATAATTTCAACGAAAAATGACGACTTTTGAACATGATGACTAGTCGAGTGATTATTTTATAATTTTTAATAGTTGAAGGACTTAATAATATAACAAGATAGATGAATTTCTTTCTTTTATTTTAATTCTTTCTAGTTTTACCCAAAAAGAAAAAAGAGAATTAAATTTTGTTTTTTTACTTAATATAAAAATAAGAGTCTAAATCATATCATTTTTTTTAATGGAATTTTAATTTTTCTTTTGTTAATTAAGGTGCCTAATGTTATAAATTTTACTACTTTAGATATCTCGATCGTTAAAATATTATATTAAGTGACATGTGTCATTCTAATAATTTTAAAAAAATTATTTTAAAAAATTAAAATTATATTAAAAACCTAAAACTTTTATTTTTAAAATTCTAATACTTTAAAAATTATAATTTCAATCTCTAAATTCACGTCAGTCACCGTCGAATCTCCATCCAACCGCCACTACACCAGAAGACTAATTAGTAGTCAAAAAGTCATCATAACAAGAGTAAATCGACACTACTCCGATGAATAACAACGTTATAAATCACGACACCTTATGATCTCGATGACTAATCGACGATAGAGATAACAACGTTTGATTAGGAATATGACAAGTACGATGTCAACGGTGATGGTCATGACCGACAAGGGATGTAAGGTGATTAGAGTTAGAGATTTGAGAGTTTTAAGATTTTTTTATATAATTTGAGAGAAATTAATTTTTTAAATATAATAATATTTTTATTTTTATTTTTTAAATAAAAATTTTAAAATTATCAAAACGTGATACATATTATAGAATTTCTTAACGGCCGTTATAATCGAATATTTCAAATGATAACGTTAATAATATTAGGAAAAAAATAGATGTTCCTTTTTTTCATATGTATGGGGTAAGGGGAAGGTAAGATAGTAGACTACCCCAACACCAGATTGAGAACAGCTTCCGTAAGAGACCTTCGAATTATGAAATACCCTCCGTGAGACTCGATCCCACGACCTCAAGCTTAATAATATTAGACAGACTAATCGGGAAAAAAATTAGATTTTTATTTGAAAAAAATTAAAGTTAAAAAGCCCCGGAAATCAATTCAAAAGCCTTTTCCAGAAATCTCACATTGCACCCCAAAGGCCCTAATCTGTACAAATCTTCACTTTCCAATGTTCCCATTTTCTGATTATTTCTTCTTCTTCGAGGCTGTTTCTGTCAAAAGAAATTCTTTGATCCTTCATTTCTGCCAAAGGAAACAGATACCCAGATCTTATTTTCTCGTAAAAAAATCAGATAGCATCTCCAAAGATCCTTTGATTTCTTATCTTTTGCTCTTCCATGTGTGATGGCTTCGACAGGGAACCCAAATCAAGCCATCCCATTTGATGTGCAGAGCTTCTTCAAACCCACAGTTTCGAACCCATCGAATTCAAACCCTCAGCCGCAAAATCCTTCCCCATCACCGTACCCCACGCCTTCTCCTCCCTTCTTTCACCCACAGTATCACCAATTCTACATGCCCCCTTCGTCCCCAACGCGTTCGAATTACCAAGACGCCAAATCCCTCTCCTTCCCTTCCCCTCCTTTCAGCCCTTACAATGCCGGCAACCAAATTCTCGCCCTGATCAACTCGTCCCCTCAAAACCCTGATATCCCGCCCCAGAAGCAGCCCCCCCAGCTGCAGCCGCCGCCCCATGCTCGGTTTTTGGGGTCCGGGAGTCCCAATGTGGGGCCTTCGAGGGTGCATAGCTGTAAATTGCCTCGAGGGAGACGGTTATCAGGCGCTCAGGCGGCGTACGATATCGATACGAGGCTGTCCGGCGAGGATCAGCCTCAGCTTGAGGTCACTCCGATTACAAAGTATGGGTCTGATCCTCAGCTGGTTTTGGGAAGACAGATTGGTGTTAATAAGTCTTATATTTGTTATGGTTTGAAAGGAGGCAGTATTCGGATTCTTAATTTAAACACTGCATTGAGGTCTTTGTTTCGTGGACACACGCAGGTTTATCTCTTTAACTTTATTAACTCTGAATTTTCTAGTTTTTAGTTTTATATTGGATTGAAATTAATGTTGTAATACAATAGTTTACAGGGTGAGCAAAACTCGACTTGAAAAAATATATCTTTTTACTCGACTCGAATTGACTTCGAGTTATGAAATAGAGCTCTAATAGTAACTAAAAAAAAATAGTAATTAGTGTATTGATTTTTGAAGTTTGAGACTTGTCAACTTGAATAACTTGAAGTTTTTTGACTTAGACTCGATCGAACGCTCACCCCTAAATTGGTAATAGATTAGTTCATAGAATTAATGTGCATTTTGAGTTCTGGAATGGCAAGCTTTGGGTGCATAAGTACTGCATTTGGATGATTATGATCGTCTCTATGTCCAACTGATATTTTTTCTTTTCTCTCAGAGGATCACAGACATGGCTTTCTTTGCTGAGGATGTTCATCTTTTGGCTAGGTATTTTCTTCTTTAATTGGTAGTTTCGCTTTTTTGCTTCTTGGTAATTCGTTTTTCTGCAGTGTGAGTCTAGAGGGAAGGGTATATGTTTGGAAGATATCTGAAGGTCCGGATGAGGAGGATAAGCCACAGATTACAGGGAAGATAGTTATCGCTGTTCAAATATTAGGTGACAAGGAATATGTACATCCGCGTGTTTGTTGGCACCGGCACAAACAAGTAATGCGACTTTTTTAATGTTCATCCATATTTAGAGGGTTATTATTTACTGGTTTTTGTTGCCAACGGTATTGCAATCTCATTTTTCAGGAAGTTTTGGTGGCTGCGATTGGAAAACACATTCTGAGAATTGATACTATGAAAGTAGGGAAGAATGAAGTCTACTCAACTGATGCACCTTCACCTCTCCATTGTCCTATTGACAAGTTGATCGATGGGATTCAGTTGGTTGGTAAACATGATGGAGAAGTTACTGATGTTTCAATGTGTCAATGGATGATTACCCGTTTAGTTTCTGCTTCTACAGATGGCACGGTTAGTATTTTCTGTTATCATTTTGTTGCATTGATTTGTGGATATCTATGTGGTCTCTCTGTGTTCTGTTGTGGTGCAGACATGTAACTATCTTGGTTTCTTGTGCATTAGTGCTGAAATTTTATGTTGAATAACTGGATAAATATGTTTATGTCAAGGATTATGCACTTACAATCTTATGCTACGCAACAGATAAAGATATGGGATGACCGCAAAGCAGTGTCACTAACAGTTTTGAGGCCACATGATGGCCGACCTGTTTATTCGGCTACATTCTTAACTGCACCTCACCGACCTGATCATATAATACTCATGACAGGGGTAAGATTTCAATGTTATTCTCTATGTGTGTGTGTGTTTGTGTGTCTGCAACTCTGCATCATATTTTTGCCTATTTGTTAGTCATTGACTTGTTCATATAAAGTTCATAGTTGTTCAAATTCTTGTGATCTGGTTGATGTGACATAGTAGTCTGTGCATTTACCTTTTGACTTCAGTCTATTTTAAATGAACTTTTTATTCATTTATTTTGTTATATTTTTAATTTTAGGACCGTGTTTATGGTTTACGTTCCCATGTGCGAGTCTTGTTATTCCATCGAATATCCATATATCTAATTTGTCATATTTTACTTTTTTGATAATTTTTCCCAGGGGCCCCTAAATCAAGAAATCAAAGTTTGGACTTCAGCAAGTGAAGAGGGTTGGCTACTTCCAAGCAGTACTGAAAAATGGATTTGCACCCAGACATTAGACTTAAAGAGCTCTGCTGTACCTCAAATGGAGGACGCTTTATTCAACCAAGTTGTTGCATTATCTCAAGCTGGCCTTTTCTTACTTGCAAATGCTAAAAGAAATGCTATATATGCCGTGCACATAGAATATGGTTCTTGTCCAGCTGCATCACACATGGATTACATAGCCGAGTTCATTGTCACAATGCCCGTATTAAGTTTTACTGGGACAAGTGATCCTCCTGATGAACATATTGTTAAAATATATTGTGTTCAGACACAGGCTATCCAGCAGTATGCTTTGGAATTATGCCAGTGCATCCCGCAACCACTGGAAAATATTGGCTTAGAGAATTCAGATTCAAGCATTTCACTTGATGCTGCCAACACTGAAGGCTATGATTCTTTTGATCCATCTGGAAATAAACCTTCTGAGTTGCCGCTTTATACTTCAGTTCCCAAACCAAGTAAACAAGTAAGTAGCTATGAAAATTTAAGAGATGTGAGGTATACTTCAAGCCCCCGTTCTACCACTGAGGCAAACGCTGTACAAGAGTTGAATACTTCGAATATTGATCCTAAATCTGCTTCTGCTTTGGGATCAGCTGCAAGTGATGCTGATATTGGTTGCATTGCATCACAACGAGCAGTTCCTCCTAGTCCTAGGTTGTCCAGGAAGCACTCTGGTTTTCATAACTATGACCCAACTTACCAGCTTGGTGACCATGTTGGAAACCAACTGGTTGTGGATTTTCCAGTTGACAGACAAATGGACACTGTTCGATCGAATTTATCTGGTATGCAATCATCAGAAGATGGTTCAAGGAATGGTGACAAGAAAATAATATCAGATGAGAAATCTAGTGCATATAATCCTCCCATCATTTTCAAGCATCCAACTCATCTTCTGACCCCTTCCGAGATATTAATGGCTGCAACATCTTCTGAAATTACCAATGTCAATGAGGGAAAGAGTGAAGGCGAGTTACATATTCAAGATGTGGTTGTCAGTAATGATGCATGCAATGCTGAGTTGGAGGTAAAAGTGGTGGGTGAAACGAGATCATCTCAGAACAATGAATTTGGTTCCTACGGAGACCTTCAAAATCGGAATTTTGAAATTAGAGAGAAATTCTTTTGCTCTCAGGCTTCAGATCTCGGTATCCGGATGTCAAGGGAGAGCTCTGCAATGTCAAGGGATGCTTACTTTGTTGATGAATCTAGGCAAGCAGATGGTGTTGGTGCATCAGGTTCGCATGTGAAGCCTAATGTTGGTGAGGAAGAAAACAATGATTCCAGAAAAGATCTGTATGGAAAGGTCTCAGAATCAGCGATGCCTTCTACATATCAACAATCACCGGCACCAAGTGGAAAAGGGAAAAAGAATAAAGGGAAAAGTTCTCTGGCATCTGCTCTCTCTTCTCCTTCTTCAAGTGCTTTCAATTCTGCAGATTCTTCCACCGAACCAGGAGCAAATTCCAATCTCCCCTTAGCAGGTGCTGCATTTCCTCAAATTGCGGCTGTGCAAGATATGCTTAATCAGGTGATTGCGGACAGAAACAAAAAAATGTAAAAAGTGGTTACACATGTATGCATCTGTGTTGTATGCACATTTCTTCCATGTGTTAATAGTTATAATCATTGATCTACCATAATTTTGGATAAAAATCGTTCCTTAGTCGTTTATATAAAAGTTCACCTAGGTAATTCCATATGATTAACCACATTTTCACATATTATTCCTTATATGTATTTTGCCTAGCATTATGATATCTTGCTTTTCAAAATAAATATGGTTTAAAGATTTTTGTTGCACCGTAGATGGTTTCTTCTTGAATGTGATTTCAATCATTTTTGCAGCTAATTACTACACAAAAGGAAATGCAGAAAAAAATGTCAAATATTGTGAACGCCCCGGTTACAAGAGAAGGCAAAAGGCTTGAGGCTGCTCTTGGACGGTGCATTGAGAAAGCCCTTAAGGCCAACACTGATGCTCTATGGGCTCGTTTCCAAGAAGAGAACGCGAAAAACGAAAAGATGCTGCGAGAACATACACAGCAGATGACGCGCCTGATAACCAATTTTATGAACAAGGATTTGGCAGTAATGTTGGACAAAGTAATCAAGAAGGAGTTAGCTGGATTTGGACCTGCTGTAGCTCGTACCATTACTCCAGCAATAGAGAAAACTGTAACTTCAGCGATCAACGAGTCTTTCCAGGTTAGACTTCTGAAAAACTGGTTCGTTTCCTAGAAAGCTGTCTTAGTGGAATCTAACTAGTCCTTTGTGTGACAGAAAGGGGTCGGAGATAAAGCAGTGAATCAACTAGAAAAATCTGTTAATTCAAAACTCGAAGCTATAGTTGCCAGACAAATTCAAGCACAGTTTCAAACTTCCGGCAAGCAAGCTCTCCAGGTATGCAAAAGTTCACTACACTTGGTGATAGGTCAAGAAGGTTATTTTGATTCTCTTGTTATAAGATCGAATTATTGTCATTCTGCATGTTCCTGGCTATTTCTTGTAGGAGGCTTTGAGGACTAGTGTGGAAGCTTTAGCGGTCCCGGCCTTTGAGGTTTCATGCAAAGCGTTGTTCGAGCAAGTAGACGCTGCATTTCAAAAAGGGATGGCTGAGCATACGAATGCTGCTCAGCAGCAATTGGACTCTGCAAATTCTTCTTTGACAATTACGTTAAAGGTATATTTCCGCTGTCTTATTTACTTGCTATTTCACTCGAAGGCCTGTAATTCATGTTCTTTTTCCAAGATTTATGACATTGGGAGCATTAAATGTTGAAACTAGGAATTACTGTTGGTGTGTGATGGTATTTTTTGGGCGATCTGAGGTATAATAATATTCATTAGAGCATGCGATACTATTTGTTTCTATAGAGCTCTTGTTCGATGTGTGTTGTTTTGAAAGTATCATTGTGTCATTTTCTCCTTTGTAATCTCTCCTAATTGCAGGATGCCATAAATTCTGCGTCGTCGATTGCTAAAACCTTAAGTGGGGAATTTGCTGAAGGACAAAGGAAAATTTTAGCCCTTGCAGCTGCTGGAGCTAACGCAAGCGCTGCAACTTCATTGTCTTCCCAACTCAGCAATGGACTTTTAGGTTCTCTGCATGACAAGGTATGTTTGTTTTGCCCATTTTCTTCGATTTCACCACGAGAAACTAATGCCCAATTAAAGTGAATCGCCAAAGTCAAATCTGGCTGTTATGTATCACTTCTTAAATGAATTTCTATCCGTGCCTCAGGTTGTTGTGCCCATGGATCCAACGAAAGAGCTATCGAAATTATTATCGGAAGGCAAATACGAAGAAGCGTTCACAATTGCCCTGCAAAGAAGTGACCTCTCCATTGTTGCTTGGGTTTGTTCACAGGTAAAGTGTCTCAAATTTTCACCAGAAATTTTGGTTAAAGTCTTTTCATTACAAGAAACCATTATTTTTCTTCGTACTAGGTCGATCTACGGATGATTCTGTCGACCAATCCTGTTACTTTGAGCCAAGGGGTGCTGCTCTCCCTCTTGCAGCAGTTGGCGTGCGACATCAACAAGGACACGCCCCGAAAACTCGCATGGATGGTAGACGTGGCCACGGCTATCAACCCGGGCGACCAAATGATCGCGGTGCACGTAAGACCAATCTTTCAGGAAGTCTGCAAGAGAGTGCACGAAATAAGTAGCTCGACTTTGCTTACGGGTGCCGAACACGCTAGTATCCGAGCTCTCGTCTATGTCATCAACTATGTTCTAATGACATGTAAATGATGGAAACATGATGAATGATTTTGGGGTTGAAGTTTGTACAAGTTCCTGGTTGATTTTCATGTAAGGAGGAGGAAAGGACCCTCTTGGTTTACAGGACAGATGGGGTCCTGATTTTGTTTTTCCATAGATGTTTTGTTATCAAATACTTGATTTTTATTATGCTGTCAATATGAGATTTAGGGTTTCAGCAATCCTATTTAAGAACCCAACAAGGGATTATTAGATTTCTATATATATATTTTTTATAATTTAGATGTCTTTAGTCATTGAATAATTCTTTTAAAATATTATTTATATAAGATTAAATGAAAAAATAAGTGTTTTAAAGTATTTTTCATTCATTATATTTTTATAAACCTTAAATATATCTAAAATCATAAAAAATTCTTAATTTTAAACCTTCTTACTAACCATCAACGGTTACCACCGTTATTATCGTCGTCGTTAGTCAATCATCTATCTTTCATGTCGTCATTCTTCGAATCTTAAAAGGATCATTGCACCTAAGCCTACAACTAATTGTTATGTCATTGTGTTAAATGTGGTTTAACGGTGAAGTGATATAATTAAAGCAGAAATTAAAATTTAATATTATAATTAATAAAGTTTGAAGTTTAATGGTATAAACAAGTCAGAGCTTAATGTCCAATGGTATCTATAGTAATTTTCCCTAAAATAAATAACTTACACAATTTAGCTGTAAGAAAGTGCCACATGGCAGAGAATCATCAACCACCTTTATGTTACTCTTGTCATTTAATTTGAATTTTATAATGAAAATAATAAATAAAACCATTAAATCCAAATTCCAAATCGGTAAATTTCGTGTTAAATACTTAAACTATCAATTTTGATTAACTTTTAAATTTTTTAAATCATACATAACGTTTAATTTTTGTTTCGTTTTAGTATCTCACAGTAAAAAAACTTGACGAACGGGCTCGTCGGGCGCTACATCTACAGACATCAAACATCACATTCGTAAGTCGATTAAGCTCAACTTTCTAGCCCGTACCTTTTTGACCCACATAATGTAACTCCGGCCTCCGTCACCAGAAAATTCCAATCTCTCCAAATTGACGATAGACTCTTCGATTTTTTTATCCTCCGATCTCCATTGTCAACCATCTGATGGGATTGAAATTAGATTATGTTGGTCGACTCATCGTTCTCTCGTGGTCCACCGTTCGGATTGGTCATTCGTCCACCGGAGCTATGCCCCATCAATCCGTCTGTTAAATTTTTAACGATTGTGTACTAAATGAAACAAAACTAAACTTTACGCATGGTTTTGAGAAATTTAAAATTTAGGTACAAAAATGAACTAAAATTGATAGCTTAGATACTAACTACGTAGTTCACCTTTTTTTTATTAGGTTCACCGAAGAAAAATCATTGTTCTATTGTTCTGCTGCTACACGCCTAAACCCAAAGGCCAAGCTCAAGGTTCATCTCTTTCCCCTTGGATTACATTCATACTCCTAATTTTTAATTATGATTCATTTATTTTTTTCAAAAAATTTAATTAACTGATTTTCTTCATTTTATTCCGAGATTGGCTAAATTGAAAACTCAAATATGGTAGATGGACTGTCACATAAGCATTATGGACTGCCACGTCAGTACCTTAAACTGTCGTGTTAGCATTGTAAATTGACACGCCAACTACGACGGTCAACGACGAAAAAGTTGGTCAAAGGACCATTGGATTTGTTTTCAGGTTAAAGTGCCACATTGAGAGAAAAATAATATAAGGGTCACATTGAATTTTTTTTCAAAAGTATAGGGATCTTTTATGTTTTTTTCCTTTATATGCTTAGTTAGTGTTTCACCCTCTATATGCACTACTTTGATTGTTTAATACTTTTAGGGTGCGATTGGTTTACGGAATGTAAGATTACCAGTGGGAATGTAAGATTACTAGGGAATAGGATTACTGGAATGTTGTATTTTATGTTTAGTTGATTTAGCAGAAATGTAAGATTACCGTGTTTGGTTAAAGGAATAAAAGATTATTAGAATATATATTTGACCAAATTGTCCTTATTATATATTTGTTTATTTAACAAGTTGAAAAATATTTATATATTTTCTTTAAAAAATTTAAATTCATAAAATTTATATATTTTTTTTACAAAATTGAAAATATAAAAAAGTTTAATGAAAGGATAAAATTTTATTTTAACCCTTGAACTTCATATAAAATTTTAATTATAGATTTTTTTAAATCTAAAATAATTTAAGGATAAATTTGTAATTTAACCTTCGTAGAATTTTTATTATTCAATGATAGAAGAAAGATATTTTTGAAAGAAAAAAATTTAAGGGCATTTTAGTCCAAACACCGGTAAGGCGGTAATCCAATAATACCTAAGGAAAGGGAGGTAATAACATTTCCGATAATATACTTCAAAAAATCTACTATTGGTAATAAAACACTACCGGGAATGAGATTCCCGACCAACCAAACATGGGAATGTAGATTCTATTCCCATGAGAATCTCACATTTCTTGATCCAAACACCCCCTTAAGATCTGCAGTTAATGGACTTGAATTTAACACAAGAATCTTAGCAGTGTTAACAATTGGACTTGACTTTTTAATTTTGAAAAGTATAGGACTAGTTCCTTGAATTAAAAACAATACCGTCTCAAGCATTTTCGAGACCTCGAGCGAAAACTAAAAAATATATCTTCATAAAATAAAAATATATTTCATTACTTTGAACAATTAATTTAATATTAAATAAATAAATAGATCGGAAAAATATATTATTTTATATTTTATTAAGACAACACCTTAAATACAATTAAAAGATAATAAATATAAAAAATGAATGCATGTATGATACATAGCTTGATTTTGAATAATAAATAAATAAAAATAATTATATTATTATTTTATTGTTAGATTGAGATCGAGGAAGACTAAAAATTAAATAATATTTAATAAATTGAAGAGTAAGATTTGAAAAAAAAAAGAAAAACATGATTAAATTTAATTCAAAACTGAATGAATAAATAAGATAAATGGAAAAAGAGGGTCAAAAACTAAAAAAAATTATGAAATTATACAAATTATGAGTACTAATTATAAATATAAAAAAATCAGGGGACCTAATTATAAATACAAAAAAATTGGGGCCCTAGAGCCGACCCTGATTGAAAAGTAGAATGACTAAATTCCAACCATAAAAAGAGCACAAAGACTTGCCTTCAATATATATATATATATATATATATATATATATATTGGGTTTAAGCTGTCAGCTGTAGTTTGTTTCTTAGTGAAGTTGGCAACTGGTTGTTCTCAAATACAGAAGTTTTTTTTTAAGGGTAAACAAGTCTTTAGTATTAAAATTATTAATTTCGATCAATTTGAGTATCTAAACTTTTAATTTTTTGAAAATCATACTTAGTATTTAGTTTTCATTACATTGTAATACCGCCGTTAAAAGCTTAGCATGTTTAGTACCTACACTATCAGTTTTGGTCCGTTTTAGTACCTAAAATTTTAATTTTTTCAAAATTTAACGTTATGTTTTGAACTAGAGTACTAAAATGAACAAAGAATAAAGTTTTTAACGACATGATACTAAAATGAAACAAAAACTAAACTCTAGGTATGACTATAAAAAAATAAAAGTTTAAGTACTAAAACAAGGTTAAAACTGATAATTTAATTAATAAATACGTAATTTACCTTGTTTATAATGCATCCAAAAACCCTAACGATAGTTACTATTGTGGAATTGGGAACATGGTAAAATTGTACCTTTTTGGGATTTAATTTAATGTTTTTTTTCTTTCTTTTTGTTCTCCTCTCGATTCCAAAGTTTTGCCTTAATTAATCTGGATCAATCCACGTCACAATCAAATTTGTCTTTATTGTGTAAATATTAAAAAGTGTTGGATTTTTTTAAAATTAATCATTAATTAAAATTTAGTTTTATTTTTAATAGAATTATAATTAAATAATATTTTTAATTAAAAATAATAACTAATTTAAGTAAATTAATTTGTTTAGAATTGAGATTTGTAAATTATTTAAGTTAAGAATGATCATAAACAATAGTCACTGTCGAAGACATGGACGGAGCTAGGATTTTTGTTCAAGGGGATAAAGTATAATTAATAATAGAAAATGAGAGGCAAAATTAAAATAAATCAAAATTTAAAGGTCTAAATTGATAATTATCCCTGTTTTTTTAAATGGTAAAAAATTTGTGTGGCCCCTCGGGGACTACATGGTTTCGTCACTGGTCAGAGACCTTAACTCGTCGAAAAATTCATTGAAAAATATTATATTATAAATCTAACATGACCGTTTGTCGTCACCCGGATTGTCATCGCCCAACAGTCACCCGGCGGTCGTACGTAGTCAGCCGCCCAGGAAAAGCTGTGCAGAAAGTCCGCCGGTGAGGTTGAGTTTTAATTTTGAATGATAAAATTACATTCCAACCCCTCCTATTTCTATTTTATTTCGGATGGTTAAGATTCATAAAAAACCCCAAAGTTTGTCCTATTTATATTTTAGACAAAAGTACGTTTATGTTTTAATATACATGGTTAAATTACACTACCCACCCCCATACTTTTATTTTAATTTAGATGGTCAAATTGCATGCAAACCCCCTTTCCCTTGTTTAGAGTTTACATTTCTAGGTTTTAAATCTTCTATAATTGGTACTTTATTTTTATTTTGTTAATTAATTTCAAATTTACTCTTTGATTTTGAATAACAATCTTATTAATAATTTATTTTATTAATTATTTTTATTAGCATTAATTTCATATCATTTTATATTATCTGTTATAATTAATTTTAATAATTTGATACTTAATTTTGCTTGATATTAATTGTGATTATTTGAATCATGATAATATTAATTTTGAAACGTAAATTTTAGCATTGATCATTAATTTTAATTTTTATGCTTAATTTTAACTTGCTGTTCATTTTTATCATTGCATTTGATTTTGACAAGCAAAAATGGAGTGTAAGTTACATTTTAATATGAATTTTCATTGTGATTAATTCAATATTAAATC